GTAGTAATGAATATTACTGGAGTTTTTCTCTAACACCAAATCGTTATTTTAACACCTCGACACGTGTTTCGATCACCAAGTGATCATCTTCAAAGAGGAAGATTAAAACAGTTTTAGCAGTTTCAATCTTCCTCTTCGAAGATGATCACTTGGTGATCGAAACACGTGTCGAGGTGTTGAAAATAACGATTTGGTGTTGGGAAAAAACTCCAGTAATATTCATTACTACACCAAAGGTTCCAAAAAGTGCATCATCAGACGACTTGCTTGTTTATTGCCAACATTTGGAGAACCTCCACCAGTGATTTCGCCGAACCCTTCCAGATATTTTAAAATTGGAAATACCGGACTGAGTGTTGGATCCTTCATCAAATGTCAATACAGCAGGATCACCACAGCTGGAAGAAGAACTCATAGAACTGATAACGAACGAGGAAATAAAAATTAAATTCAAAAATGGATACCCAGAATTTTGGCTACAAAAGCCAATCCAGCAATTGTACCCTGGATTGTGGTCCATCGTTCAACGATTTTTGGTAGCATTCCCATCATTGTATTTGTGTGAACGTGGACTTAGTGCTGCGGCAACGTTGCTAACTAAAAAGAGAAATCGGTTGCAGATTACCGAACGCGGTGGCTTACGGCTGTTTTTGAGTAAATTCGACCCTGATATTAACAAACTTGTTGAAAATCATCAAATTCCTCCTTCACATTGGATTAGTTTTAAATTTCGAATTGGAATGTTTGTTTTAACAATAAAAGTTTTGCATCACTCTCATCAGAAAGTCTTATTTTCACAAGACACACATGATTCAATTATTAAAATAATAATGTGATTGTGACTCTTAAGATGTGGTGGAGTAAAAAAATTTGCGGGGCGCTAGAAAATAATTAATTCTTGAAGTGGGCGATAGATAAAATAAGTTTGAGAAACTCTGCTATAGATTATTTTCTTCAACGTGCCCCACAAGAAAGTATCCAAAAGTTGTAAGGTCACGTAGCCGGCCACCTCACTGGTCGTGAATTTCCTAACCACCTTTCAGGAAATCTTTGGAGTAAATATTCGCAAACTGCTATTTTATTGTGTGGAGGAGCCTCATCATGCTAAAACCAGAAGCTATTATAGTTAACAAAGGGAAACGTATTCATGAATTCTTCCTTAGAAACCGAAGATAATTTCCTTGTTCAAAGTATTAGAAAAGAAATGGGGTCCAATTATTCGGTCCTTATAAATTCGAGCCCACATATCCGAATGGAACTGACTTCTCTAGAGTGTCGTGGATTATTTTAACATCAAATGTGCCATTATTTCTATTAAAAACACCACAGTTCGTCGGTCCAAATAATGTTTTTCAAGAAGTTTATAGGGTCTACCCTATTCGGGAGCGAGCTACAAAATTACATCCTTCTATCAGGATGTAATTTTTGTGAAATATGTATCTCGTAACATTTCAAACCACTTTTTTTGAATTCCCTCCAAACGCTCGTCTGTGGCATATCCATTTATGCCGCTACTTGATGCGTTGATTTGGAAGTATCTGCATTTATCTAAAAAAGTACCAAAAATCACTAAACTCCTTCGAATAACTGTTGTAATCAATTTTTGTGAAATAAAAGCAACAAAAATTACAATTTTTCGAATGATAAATCTATTTTTTTTATTTGAATAAACCTCCACAATAAATTTGTATCGAGTTATGAACATTTTCACGACAGTTATACTGTTCCTTTTCATATTTTCGTTTAAAATCTATCAAGTCCAATCACTGGAGTTTATCTGTTTGGCGTATTCTTCAATATTGGAGCTGACAATAATTTTGGCGAAGGCGGTAGTTTGGTGAAAGGTTAAATACTTTTGGTGAAGTTCATATTGTATGCAAATAACTATTGTAATGATTTTTTTGTGAAATAAAATCAACAAAAAATTACAATTATTCGAATGATGAAACTGTTCATTTCATTTGAATAAACTTCCACAATGAATTGATGAATCTGTGTATTTAATTTGAATAAACTTCCACAATAAATTTGTATTGAATTATGAACATTTTTATGACAGTTATATCGATCTTTTCCATATTTTTGTTCAAAATCTATCGAGTCAAATCGTTGGAGTTTATTTGGTTGGCCCATTCTTCAATATTGGAGCTAACAATAATGTTGGCGAAGGCGGTAGTTTGGTGAAGGTTTTAATACTTTTGGTGAAGATCATATTGCATCAAAATAAATGTTGTAATGCATTTTTTGTGAGATAAAAGCAACAAAAAATCACAATTATTGGAATAATGAATCTATTTATTTCATTTGAATAAACTTCCACAATAAATTTGTATTGAATTATGAACATTTTTATGACAGTTATATTGATCTTTTCCATATTTTTGTCAAATCGTTGGAGTTTATTTGGTTGGCCCATTCTTCAATATTGGAGCTAACAATAATGTTGGCGAAGGCGGTAGTTTGGTGAAGGTTTTAATACTTTTGGTGAAGATCATATTGCATCAAAATAAATGTTGTAATGCATTTTTTGTGAGATAAAAGCAACAAAAAATCACAATAATTGGAATAATAAATCTATTTATTTCATTTGAATAAACTTCCACAATAAACTTGTATTGAACTATGAACATTTTTACGACAGTTAAATTGATCCTTCTCATATTTTTGTTTGGAATCTATCAAGTCAAATTGTTGGATTTTTTCTGATTGGCTCATTCTTCAATATTGGGGCTGACCATAAATTTGGCGAAGGCGGTAGTTTGGTGAAGATCATATGGTATCCAAATAACTGATGTAATAAATTTTTTGTGAAATAAAAGCAGCAAAAAATTACAATTATTCGAATGATGAATCTGTTTATTTCAGAATAAATTTGTATTGAATTATGAACATTTTCATGACAGTTATATTGATCCTTTTCATATTTTTTTTTAACTCTATAGGGTCAAATTGTTGGAGTTTATCTGATTGGCTCATTCTTCAATATTGGAGCTGACAATAATTTTGGCGAAGGCAGGTAAGTTTGGTGAAGGTTTTGCTACTTTTGGTGAAGATGGAGATCATTTTGGCAAATGGATAATAATTTTGGTGAAGGGTAGACAGTGATGAAGATTATGGAATTGTATAGCAAAAGTATTCCTCACAGGTGACTATACGACTAAAGTACAGTTTGTTTACAATAATTCGAAATATTCAAATTGTATAGTCACCTGAATTCACATTTAGAAAAAGAGAAAAAGTCAAAGCATTCCCGAATAAATACTACAAAAGTGAAAATTGATATTCTATTAAAAAAAAATGGCGCACATAACAGCATTCAACTCAAATTGACAAATGGATGAAATCAGAGCTACTTACAGGTTCATTAAGTTCAGAAGTTAGATTTAATAGATACTGCAAAGATTTTTTACTTCCATTGTTACTGACTAGCAACAAAGTAATTATTCAAGCAAATAATAATACTGTCAATTTTTAGGAAGTATTTCAATACTCGGAACTACGTCACATAGACCTTGGATATGTGTATCATAGCAACTTTGAGTTGCTCTTTCCATTGATTTGAGTAAGAAGTTTTCATCTTCACAATTCACTGAAAATATAGTAAAAAATATTCAAGCAAATAATAATACTGTCAGTTTTTAGGAAGTATTTCAATACTCGGAACTACGTCACATAGACCTTGGATATGTGTATCATAGCACATTGATTTGAGAAATATTTTTTTCTAAATAAGCTTGAAACGATAACGAACGAAAAATAATAGTATTATCGTGAAAAAAGCGACTGGCGCTCGATATACAAAAAATACGGCACAAGCGCCCACGCTTTTCTCACAATAATACTAGTATTTTTTGTTCGTTATTGTGTGAAGCTTATTTAAAAAAAATACTTTCAACTTTCCAGTTCGATGTTCCTTAAAAGCGTGTTTTTTAGTTTTTTGAACTATATTTACTTTTAATTTTTTAGCTTCGTATACTATAAAAGCGTGTTTTTCAGTCTTTTTGAACTATATTTATTTCATCTAAACTTTGGGATCAATCAGCCATATATTGTTTCGGAAAATGACCATTGATATTTTTCGATTCCGGAGACCTACCAGCTACCTCACCCAAGGCAGTAGGCGTTATAAATAAGGCAACAGGCGTGCGTGTTAATAAAAAAAATACTTTTTTCAAATACATGTTAAGAGAGATCGAATTATATCAAGGAGGTTATGTACAGCGCTATCTGCCTGCGAATAGATCAAGCAATAATGTCGATAATTCTGTCAAATACAGATCCTGAGCTTGAGTTACAAACAAACAAACATACACACATACATACATACAGGTATTGATAAAATTGTTACCGTCAAGTTCATCGGCAATATTCTGCAATAAGACGTCATAAAATGTCAATACTTTTTCTCTTTCTCTTGGATCTTTTCGTCGTGCTAGAATTTTCTCCATTTCATATTGAGGAGGAACCATTTCTACAAACTTTTCTCCCAATTTTTCGTCGAAGGAACTGAAATCAAAGGAAATTAATCCTATCAATATTCATTTCTCATTTTTGTTAAATATCTCTGAAATAATTCAAGAGCAAGGCAACTTGAGAAAAAATGTAGTATCTTACCACATGGAGTTTATCATGATGAAGTAGTTATTGTTTTTCTTCGAGTGATGAAACAAGCATGGGTGCATTCAGAGTTTTGTTTTGGGAGGCTGAAGCAAGAATCATAAGAAATTCGAGGATTCATCAGATAATTCGATAGAGAACGATAAACATGAAGTTTCCATGGAAGAGGAAATTGTAGAAGTCGAAATATCAATGCAATATAAATGAATCTGGAATAATATATGTTTGGTATCTCACAACGTCCACCCAAAAAGGTACTCTGGAAGAAACAAGTCAAAAACTTTCAACATTACGACATAGTGTAATTCATTGTTAGACTGGAAAATGAAGTACTCATAATTCGGTAAAGATCAATATAACGAATCAACACTGAATATTCTGACAATATTGCAACGAATTAAAGAATTAACTGTCTTAAACAATTTTTTTAACAATATTTCACTATCACAACTAATTTATATTCAACACTTAGCGACTAACGCTTAATTTATCTTCACTGTTCGAATTCTTTATTTAAACGCATGATTTACTTTCCGAATACAGACTGCCATCTCGTGACGAGAAGCGGGCCTTATAAGTCGATAACGACCATGCTAGATTTCTCTAGTTGTTTCGGCAATGACCTAGACTTTTCGCGGTGGCTTGTCGATCGCATTCCGTTCGCGGTGAGTCACATGTATGCTGGCTGAGATATCGGTCAGGGCCGGCTTCAGATTCGTTACAATGCCCCCTTCTTAAAGACGTTTCGCCCCGAAATGTCATTCTTGGCGTGTGTCGATACCTGCAAGACTCCCCATATCTTTACCGTGAAGTTCAATTGAAGTAACACTCCACAGTCTTTATGGTCGGTCGTGGACGATGGTTACCGCATACCAAAATCTTGATGCCGCTGGATCTGAAGATCGTTTCCAACATGCTCCTCACAATTCTCCAGTCCAGCCTGTCGAGTCCAGATGCTAATTTCGGGATTGCCAAGTCCACGAGATTCTGGTCGAGCATCGTGTCCTTCAGTCTAGTAAGACTCCTCCAGACATTGAATATAGAATAAATAAAATACTTTTGTCTAGTTTCTACTGTGTTAATCTATTCGTCACGACCGGTTTCGGCTTATAAGGCCATTTTCAAGTAACTTGACGAAACCGGTCGTAACGAATAAATAAACACAGTAGAAACTAGACAAAAGTATTTTCTTTATTCTATATTCAACATGAATTTCTACAAAATAAATAAGTCATCAATCGAACGAGTCCTCCAGACATCTTCATAGAACGGTTTGTCTCGAAAATGCTTTTTGGTCACCAAGTAGAAAATGTTTATCTGACCCTTCTTCAACTGTAGCACTCCTCCGACTTCAGGATTCTGTTATCGTAATGTTTGGAGCTGTCCGAATTACTTGTTGAATACCACAGCGATATCCTTGAACATTTGGAGATCCTATAACACGCAGTGAGCTAGTGCGTAATCAACTGGAATCTTGAAAAGGTATCGTGGCTCCTCATGAGTTACCCCATGTACGACCTTCTGTCCGTTCGAATATGAGGACATGAATTTCTGGAACGTCATTTCATCCTCTGGTGGTCTGAGGGCGCGAACTTGGTCGTGACTTTCAGCATAAGGAGCCAATCTATTGAAATGGACGACCCTAGGCTTTCCTGGAGGTGGCTTATGGATTTGGTAAACGAGGTCATTAATCTTTCTCATGATTTTGTACGGACCTTCAAACGAGTTCCGCAACTTCGGTGATAAACCACGGCGTTGCTCAGGATTGTACAGCCAAACTAGGTCACCGGTTTCAAATTCTCCATCATTCGCCTTGATGTCATAGGCCTTCTTCATCCTATCGCTTGCACTCCGGATGTTAAGACGGACTAGTTCATGGATGTCATCCATTCTCTGCCGAAGCTTGCTGACATAGTCTTCCCCCGCAGTGTCTTGTTCTGGCGGCGTCCCAAATTTCAGATCGCAAAGAAGCCGCAGCTCTCGGCCCATTCTAATACTGGCAGGGGTTTGGCCGGTTGACTCGTGCACTGCCGAACGATAGGCCAACAGGAACAGGTTAAGGTACTGATCCCAGTCTCGTTGATGGTCAGAGACTACCTTGGACAAGTGGCGGTTTATGGTCTCATTCATTCGTTCCACCATTCCATCGGACTGTGAATGTATAGCTGTGGTTTTGGTCTCTCGAATGTCCAACAGCTTACATATTTCTTGGAACAAGTTGGACTCGAAATTTCTGCCCTGGTCCGAATGCAGCTCCAATGGGACACCGAATCGACATATCCATTCCTTCACCAGGACGACAGCGACGGTAAAGGCTTCCTGGTTGGGCAGGGCATAGGCTTCTGCCCACTTGCTAAAGTAATCCATGGCTACTAGGATGTATTTTTTCCCATAGTCGGACTCTGGGAATGGGCCGGCGATGTCGATGGCGATTCTCTCAAAAGGACTACCCACGTTATACTGGCGCATTGGAGCTTTCGGTCGTATCTGAGGTCCATTACTGGCAGCACATACAGGACATTTTCTGCACCAGTCCTGGACGTCGGCTTGACAACTAACCCAGTAAAACCGTTGTCTTACTTTCTGAATAGTCTTCGTTACTCCCGGATGTCCTCCAGTGACTCCATCATGGATTTCTTTGAGCACCTCCCGTTGTCTGTTCCTGGGTTCCACTATCTGGCTCCTTTCTTCTCCACCATCTTCAGACTCCAACACCCGCTTCAGAAACCCGTTTTACAAGTTAAGAGAGTTCCATTGGACCCAGTAGGACTCAACCGCTGGCGAAAAACCTGCTACCTCCTGCCACGATGGTCTTCGGTTACTTTTCTTTCATTCGATGACTAAACCAAGATCTGGGTCTTCCTCTGGGTCTTTCTTGATCTTATTATCCTCCCAGTTGTCGTCTATAGCTCTAGTTCTACAAATGGCTGCTTCCTTCTCTTCTGCTCGTCGGCAATGTGAGCAGTCGTCGGGGCATGGTATCCGTGACAGGGCATCTGCGTTTTTATAGCTAGTCCCAGCTTGATGTTCTATTTCGAAGTCAAATTCTTGTAATCTCTCAATCCAGCGCGCTACTTGGCCCTCGGGACGTCTCCATTAATCTTTCGAAGGTCGCTGGAACCCTAATGGCATAACCGTGAACTGCCAGAATCTTGAGCCGATGGTGAAAGCTGTCTTTTCTCGATCTTCTAGGGCCAATTCAACTTGCCAATATCCACTCTTCAAATTCAAAGTCGAGAAAATTGTGGAGCCGGCTAGCGTGTCTAGGGTTTCGTCGATTCTTGGAAGAGGGTAGCTGTCTTTCTTCTATGCTGAACCACATTCGTTCTGCCGCCTTTTTCTTCTCCAATGTCGAAGATTTCCTGGTACATCTTTACTAACTCCCTCAGTTTTGATCGGTGAGTTGGTGGTATGTCCTTGGAGGAAATGTCAATCAACTTCTCCAACTCTTTAGGCAAATTGTTGGCTTGGCTAACAGAACTGCGTACACTCCGTATCACAGAGAAAATGGACGAACAGTGCCCCAGCAGTGTTCCTTTCCTCAAAGTCATGAGAAAGTAGTTGATATTCATGACCCTGACCGGCACAACTTCATCAACACGCAACAGGATCTTCCCCAGTGCGATTCCTCGTCCAGCCCTTTTAGGTACGCACACGTCTTCAGCCAACAGGACCGTGATTATCTCTTCGCTTCTTCCATGAAGCAACAGCTCTTCTCCGCCGACACGTAGGACGCCGTCTTGAAAATTCAGCTCGAACCCTCTGGAATTCATTATGTCCATTCCAATGATCGCATCGTCCTCGATGTCCGCCATCAATTCACGATGTTTCAATTTTGTGCTGCCCAACACCAATTCAATTGGTAGTTCTCCAAGTACAGTGGCTGGCTTCCCTGTTGCGGTGCGTAGCTTCCAGCTTGACGGTTCAATTCTTGCCGGTGTTTTGGCAAAGGTTCGCCCAAGAATGGTTCTCGTCGCACCTGTATCTAGCAGCATGGCACAAGGCTTGTTGTTGATGAGGCCTTCTGCTAAAACACCTTTGTCTTGTCGTTGGAGAACAGCAACATCTGCGTTTTTTACGAGGGCTTGCTGGGTGCACGCCGACGATTGCCCCTTCTCATCGACCCCCTCTAGTTTTCCTGATTTGATCTCATTTGTTTCCTCTCAGGCAACACTTCTTTTATTACTTTCCCTTCCAATGGTGGCCTCAATATCAGCAGGCGCTTGTCCATCTTCCTCGATAGCTCGAACTTTGCTCTGGCTCTTGCAGGATTGTTTTGCAGACTCAAACTCCCCTGCCAGTGCATACACGAGATGTTTGGGATGAGCTAGTGCCAAGTCCGTCCAAGAATGCCTGAACTGCTAACCGCTCCATCACATTTTCCGGTGTAGTAGGATATGCCAGACGAACCAATCGAGCAATGTCGGCTTCAAACTTCTGTAGGGATTCTCCTGATTTCTGACAGCGGTTCTTCAGCTGTGAATGATAAACGTGCTCTAGGTGGGCCTGTCCATACCGCAGCTCAAGATGCTTTACAAGTTGGTCATAGTCTTCTTGTTCTTGGGTCGTGAGGTTTTGCAGAATATTCGTTGCTTCTCCACGCAATGCTAATGTTAATGCTATCGCCTTCTCTTCTGCATTCCATCCAAGAATTTCAATACTCAATACTCAATACTCAATACTCAATGCTATCATCCATAGTTTGTTCAAATAATACTCGTTTCACGGCATATTTTAATCCCATAGAACCCGTTTCGCCTCAAATAAAGGATTTTGTTGACAGAAGAAGCATCACGACACTTGAGATAATAGAATTCTAAATTATCCTCAAGTATTATTTAAAAAAATGGCTAAGGGACATTCAAATATGACATAAGCACTATAGGGGGTCTTTTCTTTGCTTATTTTTGTTGATATGGGGGGGCAGGGGGTCTAGATGGAGATTAAGAAACGCTTCTCGAAGAGTTTCGAACATTAGCTTAAACTGACCACGGATTGGTAAAACCAATAGTTCTCATGACGGTTGATGGAAATCCGCGTTATTAAAAAGTAATAAGGTTTGCTTTACAATACTTTGAGCGACATATATTTATTCATCGAATAAATATATGACTCACTGCGAAAGAATGCAGTCTGAAACCGCCACAAAAAGTCTAGGCGAGTACCGAATAGACTACAGAATTCTACGATAGATCTTTACCGATATAAAAGGCCGGCTTCTCATCCAGAGAGGGCAGAAAGCGAATCGAGCGGTTAAACAAGGAATTCAAATAGTGAAGATAAATCAAGCGTTAGTTGATAAGTGTTGTAAATGAATTGGTTTGTGACAGTGAAATATTGTTGGAAATAAATTTGTTCAAGACAGTTAATTCTTTGATTTGTTACACTACCAATGCTCCTGGAAAATGTTTGTTCAACAGAGTAAAACACAGAATAGATCTTCTGATTTCCTAGACATTGAATGGTATAAAGAACATGTGCGTTGTAATAACTGTCATTGCGATAGTAACGTAAATATTATTTTATTCATAGAGATCGAGGTCGATCACCTGGTTCTTCGGTGTCGATATTTTCCCAGATGAAAAAGCGATTGAACTACTTTATAACTGTCTTTTTCGGTGGAGGGTCGAATAGACTCATTCACTTTGCACCAAACCTCATGACTGTCGGACCTTTAAGCATCGTTGTGGTCATGTACAAGTTGGGCTAGAATAAACAAATGTATATATCACATCCTGCCGATGATTATACGCTTGGGAAAGTTAAAAACGCTGAGATGAGGTTTTTGTGGCTAGCGTTGCTGACACGAGGGCTTAGGAGTTTTTTACGAGAGACACGAAAAGTCGGTCACCGGGGTCCGTCGAGACGAGTATTTTGTACTGAGTTGGTGCGTTTGTAGTTGTTTAGCAGGTTGAATCAATCGTAATTAGCACAGTCAAATTTTATATATA